CACGCACTTCTTCGTTGCCTTCCTCGAGGGCGCGCGCTCTGCGGGCTTCTCCTCAGGGGGAAAGCAGGACCGCATCCCCACGCCAGACGGCGGGCAGGAGGTCATCGCCGCGCGGTTCGTGCACCCGTCCGCTGCTCTGGCCGAGTACGCTGCGCATGCGATCGCGCTCATGCCCCCGCAGGTGTACCTGCTCACTGCGCTTGCTGACATCCTGTGCGGAGAAAGGAACACGGAGGCACAGCGCGAGCGCGTGTGTACGCTCTCGCGGGGTGCGTTTGGGCGCATGGTGATCCACCCGCACTCGCTGCCCGAGAAGGACCCGGAGGGCCGGACGGTCATGACATACGAGGGGGACGAGATGAGAGGAGGGCCACGGGGTTGCTTGCATAGGTGCCTGGTCAGGTTCAGGAAAGACGGGGTGCGTATCCATGGAAATTGTGCCTCTCTCGCAGCTAATGTTGTCGTTATGGTATGTGTGACCCTACTTGTGCAGGTCTCCACGGAGGCAGTTATACAAAGAAACTTCGACATATTTACGGAGCTCGAGGACAAGCTAACTGCGAAAGCGAAGCTTTGATCATCCTACCGTCCCTGGCACTTCATAATCTGCCCCTGAATGCTATGGGGACACGCTGTGAACACACGATTGTACAAGTGTTACACGCGCGCAGTGCAGTGCAATCGGAACGTCGTTGTCTCTGAGTTCTGTTGTTCACCCTTGTTATTCAACCCTGTTCGCTCCGGCATCATCGCGCTCAGATCTATCGAGGCTGGTGTCTTGTGTTCTCATCAGAATCACAGGTAGGGGGACATAAGCACGTGCATTGAAGAGATGGCAATACAGGCGGGACAACACATGAAACCTATCATCAAAATGGGAATATGGAAGGAGGCTACATTCGTTGCAGCATCTGCTAGGGTAAGCCGAGACCATGCGTATGGATACAAGTGGGGCGCAAAGCCAATGAAGTTTGAGAAATTGAAGTACAGACTAATGAAATACGAAAGGCATCAAGATCCAAAACACAGCAGACCAGGATCCGCACATTACGTGAGGCGAAGCTTCAAAATGCGATTAACCGTTGAATATATGATATGCGCGGCGGTGTGGTTTCTAAGGCCCGAAGTTACGCAGAGGACCAAGAGAAAAAAAGGAAAAATCATTGTGTAAGACGTTGAAGAAAGTTTTCGTATCGTTGCCGTCACCAAAGCCATGGGCGAATATTCTTTAGATGTCGTAGACCTGGTAGTCATACTCCACGTAGTCACCCCAATAATCAGGCGAACACGTGCCAACAGCGTAGTTCCCTGACCCGCCAAGCTGGAGCGCGTCGATGACATCGCCGGTCGCGGCCGTCCAATTGGGGTATGAGCCTGTGTTGGGGTTTCCCGTGCGCATGAATGCACTGTAGCGCGCCTGCATCTCATTGATCAGCGCGGACTGCTCGCTTGTGGGGCTGGGCACGGTGCCAAACTGCAATGACAATCAGTGATGGTGAAGGTGACAGATGCAGTGGGCACGCACCACAATCTCGATGTCGTCCTGGTGGCAGACGGATCCGGATTGTACGCATTCGGGCACGTCGGAGTTGCCAGGGTACGACGCGCCGACAACGTATAAGCCCACGTAGGCCGATCCGCCCGCTGTAACCCAGTTGCGCGCAAATGTCCATGTCGCACAGCGCCACACTTGATCCGTACCCATCGTTTGCAGCTCCGGTCGCGCATCCTCCGTGACATCGCCGTTCGTCGCGGCGGGGACGACGTATTCAGACTGCGCCAGCAGGCGGCCCGCGCGCGGCTCGCCAAACGTGACATTGACAACTTCCTCATATAAGTCGTTCGAGATAGGTTGTGGGAATTCGCCGTAGATGGTGAGCATTGCTTCGTCAAGGACGGTGGACAGCAAAATAGGTTTCGTCTGCTGAGGGAAAGGTGCAGTGGAGTCGAGCGGGGATGTGATGAGAACACCGTCGCGAACAGGGCGGATTGGTTCAGCGATGCCGGCGGCGGGGCAAAGGCTGTTCGAGTTGTTCAAAAGAGCTACTTGCGCATTGAGAACGGTGTCGAGTGTGAGCGAGTCGAGGCAGGATGTGTCGGTAGAAGCACATGAAATCTGCTCGTTGTAAAAAGTTTGCAGCGTGCTCTGCATCGTCGTGTTCAGCATTCCATAGTCCTGCAGTCAAAAACGTCAGTTACAGCCTAAATATTGTATGCGTGAAGCGGAAACACACCATCGGGTCAGACTGTAGAATTGCCGATTGGAAGAGGTCAGACGCCGAAGGAGCAGCGAGGAGCGCCCGAATCATGCTGCCTCCAGAGCTCTGTCCATCGAGTGTGATCTTGGATGCATCGCCACCAAAACTGGGAAGAACGCCCTGCAAAAATTGGAGAGCCGTGATCATATCCTTAACGCCGAGATTAGTTTCGCCATCGGGGACCATGAACCCCAGCTAGATCATTCATGAGTTATAATGAATATTCAATACGAAGCTGATTGCTTACAGCTCCCAGACGATATTGAACAACCGCGACAATTGCTTCAGTATTGGTAGCAAGAATGGAACCATCTAGACCAGGCGCAGTCGCAGAACCGCTGATGAACGATCCACCGTGAATCCTGCATGGACACATTCAACGGACAGATACTGTGGTAACTGGTTTCACTTCTACTCACCAGACCAATGTGGGGGCGTCACTGCCAGGCTGGACCGAAGGAGGCACGTAAAGTATCATCGCCAGACAGTCTTCCGAGTAACTCGAAGCATCGGCATCCGTTTGAGGGCAAGCCAAAGGCAAACCGGACGCGTTTGATGCTCCGGATCTGAATTCATGTTTGTAAGCGTGTTGTATCGAAAATGTTCATATAGGCACTCACGGTAGATCCCACGATGTCACTACTGAGGAGGATTGCCATCGGTCGGCGGTACCATACCTGACAGGGAATCTGATGACGCCCGAAATATCTGATACACCTTCTGCAGTTCCCAGAGGGGTAGAGACAGAGGTTGAGGTTGAGGACGAGGCTGAGGACGAGGAGGACGAGTCCCTAGGACACAGCCATTGGGAAATTATTGGAATGTCTACGCTGCAAAAGAGGTTGCCGGGCACAACGGGAGGAAACTTGAGCTGTGGCACGGAGTTGTGGGAATCCAGAGGCAACGCCCAGCTTGGAGAGGCCACTAGGAGAGAAAGGACAAGAAGAATAAAAGTGGCCATGACGAGCTGCTGGAAACACAACTGAGGCCTGAAGTGCAGGAGACTTGAGGTTGCTCGTGAGGACCTCGGGGAGATGGCTCGGTATAAATACGAGAACTGGGCAAGACGCTCGACCCTGCGAGTCGGATGGAAGAAATTGGTGGTAAGGAACAGAGGATGGTAAGGAACAGGAACGCGTGCATGGAGAGAGCATGCTGGGCACAATGCCCGGATGAGGAACAATGGCAGGAGGGCGAGGTCGCGCTGTGAGAACGCGTGGTACTGTGAATACCTCGCTTGCCTTATATGGCAGGACTCTTGTTCCCAGTATAGCTCCTCAGCGCCGTCTCGATTTCAGTCTCTCCCGCAGTTCCTCCGCCAGCAACTTTGCGATACAGTCAGCTTGCAGTGCTCAAAGGCCAGTGAGGCTCCAAAGTAAAAAGAGTATGAGCCCTCCACAGTTCCACGCTGCGCTGTGTAGTAGAAGAACATGATCGCACCTGCCAATTACCACCTGCTGATCGCGTCGCATGGTCCCTCTGCAGCTGAATCAGCTCACTCAGGAACTCAAACCGTGGAAAGCAGGGTTATGTCCTGGAAGACTCGCCACTCGTCACAGCAGCAGTCCAATAATTGAATAAGTTGCGAACCTGCCGTACAGAAATACACATGTCAAATGCGGCGCCGGTATCGCCATAGAACTCTGTTCCCCTCATGCAGTTCCTGGTCGACGGCTGGTCTGGAGCGCCTGCTTTAGGACTTCATTATGATCAACAAACAATCATATCCATCGAATCAGCTTCGCCAATTACCCAACGACTATTAAACGATCAAGCACCATACCACTCCAGGTCTTCGTGAAATATATTGCTCTGTACACTTGGGTCTCGAGAAGGTGACGCACAATAAGGTTCGATGCAGCTACTTACCGCAGGCTCGCGCGTGCTCACGGATCTGCTAAGGGATCTCCGCTAGCAGTTTTCGACAACGTGGTGTTCATCAAGGTGGTGCCTGCGGCCAAAAGGGCTAAGCTGCGGTACCTGAGCGGAGTCGATTAACGACAAGGATAATATTCGCCGAGCACCTCACCTAATCAATGTGCCGGCGGACCGCGGCATATCTTGCCATCCAACAGGATGATGACCAAGTGACGAGAAAAGGCCAGCGCGAGACCAATCTCCAAAATGTCGTGAAAGAGGCAGAGCTTGACTTCTTCATAGGCACACGTCCGACTCAGTACAAGGTAGTGACGCGAAATTAGATGTTGATGGAGATGAGTTTGCTTATGCAGTGATATGAATGTGGAAACAGTGATATATGAAGCCAACCTGACGATGGTTGTAAAGCGGCAGGGGCAGAGCGCAGAATTTCCAGCCGTGGTGATTAAAATCAAGCCTTGTGATCCAAGTCTGGCACACCTCAATCGCAAAAAAACAAGCGCGTCGAGGATACGGGATAAATTTGTATGTCGGCGCAGTGCGGTTGTCGACGATACGGCAAGAGAGGCGTTACTATGCGAAGTCGAAAACGTCAAATTCGGCGAGGGATGTCACTCGTTCTGGTTGATTGCGGAAAAAGTTCGAAGCTGACTTACGATTTCTTTTCGGCCGCAGAACTTACTTCTTGAGTAACAGTGGGATGTGAGAAGATCTCACTACCTGAGATAAAATGGGAAAAACACCAGAACGATCATGCGGGAAAATATGTAGAGATCTTGACAATTAACGAAGCCCCAAAGCTCAGGTTGTATCTAAGTGAAGGGATTGTTCGTCGTAGGTTCCGTGATAACCCCAGCTGCTCGACGTGTTCACAAAAGAACGTAATTGCTTCTCACTTCAAGTCTGTACAAAAATCCGAAACACTCAGCTACTTGAAGTATAACGCATACTGTGAGCCGTTGCATCAGCCACAACATTTGTCAAGAAAAATCCAGAATTTTTATCGCTGGCTCCATGCTTCGATATCTTGTAGCTTGAAATAAGGGATGCAGCCGGAAAACAGAAACTTCGGCTACGCGAGCACCCTCAGAATCATAGCCCATGGAACTAAACAAGCTTCAAAGTTCAACTTGAGCTTCGATTTCCGGATCGAATGGGTGGTGCACGTGATGACGTGCTGCTCGGGCGCTTGTTCACTAGGCTGCAGCCACCGACACCACCGACACCTTCATTGTCAAGTTCGACTGCCAGTGAGGTGTTAACGAGACCAACTATATGCGCGTATGTCTTCAGTGAAAATGTAAGTTGCGGCTGCCTAACGTCCATTCTATGCTTACTTCTTGCTTTCCAGCCTGACAGTTGGCTCTGCTGCCGGGTCCATTCGCGAGTTGTTCACGAAGATCAAAGCCATAAACGCAAAACATGGGCCATTCAATCTCGTTCTGTGTACGGGCGATTTTTTTGGACTACCCAAGGACGAAGGGGATGCGTACAGTGAAGATGATGAGGTGATGCTATTACTAGGGGGAAAGCTGGAAGGTCTTGTCCCGTCTATTCGCCTGGCATCGTGCATTTGTCGCTTATTACACTCTTTTGTATGTAGCACCAATCGACTGTTATATAATGCAAGGGAGACATCCAATTCCTGCACCCGTGATTGAGAAGTTTGCGAAGACCGGGAGCTCACTTGCTGAGAAAGTGACTCTCCTTCGTACGTATCCGCTCTAGTAATCTTCTCTTCATTGTGAAATTTACTCTTGTCCAGACAAGTCGGGGATCATGACAACTCCAGATGGAATACGCATAGCATGTCTTGGAGGAATATATGATTTCAAGCTCTATACAGCGGCTGAGTCGGTTCACGTACGTCTAAATGTTGGTCTAAAGCGGTGATCAGAAGCCAAACGTCAGATTTCAGGGCTTTACCTCGCCATATTTTACTTCACATACAGTCGAGAGGTTACTTGCAAACGCGTTGACAGCCTCGCATATTCAAGATCAAAACTATACATCACTCGCGTCCATCAAGGCTGCTGCCGCGCCCTCGCAGCTTGTCGATATCTTTATTAGTAACGCCTTTCCGTCCTCCATTACTCAGTTTTCTTCGGCGCCACTACCTGCACCCGAGTTTGCAACCATGGGTGTGGATCCCGTCGCAGAGGTCGTACGAAAGACGAAACCGCGCTACCACTTTGCCGCAGGTGGGGGGGATCCGCCCAAATTCTGGGAACGAGAGCCGTTCGTATGGGATGAGGACGGCGGGCGTGTCACGCGCTTCATCAGTCTCGGTGCATTCGGCGAACAACCATCAGAAGGCAAGAAACAACGCGTATGTCGGGTAATTCTTGCCAGGTACCCGCGTCTGCTCATCGATTGTGAAGTGGTTCTATGCGTATACGATATCGCTAGATGCACCGAATCCTCCTCGGCCAGCAAATGCTACCAAGAATCCTTTCTTAGAAGTCGCAACCCGTGCGCCAAAACGTCAGCTTGAATTCGAGGAGGGACCTAACTTTCGGTGGGACGTTAAACAACATAACAAACGCCCTCGTACCGGTAAATATGGCCCGTTTATAACTAGTCCAGAAGCTGAAAGCTATTTTAGAGCTCGAGCCAGGCAAGCTGCCCCCAGGATACAAGTGCAAGATTTGTGAATCCACAGAGGTAGGTTATGCATTGAAATATCTGAGCGCCAGCTCATCTCGGCTTAGCACTTCATTAGCGATTGCCCAGACAGGGCTAAGCCCAAGGAAGGTTATATTTGCAAAATCTGCAATGAAGTGCGCAGATCTTCGTTCATTCCACGCTGTCACTATAATGGGTGTTCCAGCCAGGTCACTTTGTCCGGGATTGTCCCGTCAAAAACGCAGTAGGTGATACGGGCGGGCGGAAACCACGAGAAGGCTATGTCTGCCGGGCGTGTGGTAGCGAAGCTCATTACATCCAAGACTGTCCGACTGCGAGCCAGAGCAGTGGAGGGAGACATGGGCATCTCCCCCCACGCGGCCCCCCGAAGGAGATCGCCCGTGAGTCCGACTAACATGAGACACATATTCCCCCGCTCACCTCACTTGGCAGCGGACGAATGCTGGTTCTGTTTGTCCAACCCCAACCTCGCGTGCGTTCTATTTGTCTTCCTATTCCTTGGCTGCGGCCCGCTCATTTGCCTGATCACAGTAAGCATCTCATCGTGTCCATCGGCACGGAGTGCTATGTCACACTGCCGAAAGGACAGATTATCCCAACGCATACCGCGGCGGCCCACTCGAATGCACCGGCTGTGCCTGGCGGAGGCCATGTCCTCATCGTGCCTATTACTCACTACCCAACGTTCACTTCCATTCCCTCGGATCTCGCCGGTCCTATTCTGGACGAGACGCAACGGTGAGTCTAGAAAGAATCGGAGTGTGAGGCCAGACCTGACCGCTGCCGTCGCACTGATACTGTTATCATTGAATAGATACAAATCCGCGCTTGGGGCGATGTTTGCAAAACATGGGGCGGTAGCTGTTTCGTTTGAAGTGGGGCGGCTGAGTGCCAAGGGCGGACACGCTCATGTACAAGTGGTGCCCCTCCCCAACAAGTTCGCAAATAGTGTAGAGGGTGCGTTCACCGACGAAGGCAGGCGGCAGGGCATCGAGTTCGAAGCAGATCCTGAGGACGCGCTGAAGGCGTGCAGCGGCGGTGGGGGCAGCTATTTCCGTGTGGACCTGCCCGATGGACGGAAGATGGTACATTTGATGCGGGAATCTGTGCCGTTCAGCATCCAATTTGGCAGGTACGGGTTGATTTCCCCTTGTTCGTCGCAATGATGCAAATGCAGGCTCTGACGTTGCTGAGAAGACAGGTGCTCGTGTCGCTCCTGGGAATGCAAGACCGATTCGACTGGAAAGCATGTATGCAGACGGAAGAAGAGGATAAGGCGGACGTCCAGGCGTTCAAAAGGGCGTTTGCACCATTTGATCCTTCACTTTGATATTAATATGAATGATATCTCCGGTGGTTGCTGAGAAATGAGATTTATTTGATGCTACTCTGTGCACGAGACTACATGTGCGTCTCCGCGTTCGTAAAAATACATGCAATCCACAAAAGGGCCACTGCCAGCCAGACCTACGATCTAAGAACAAAGGCCCCGTAGACGAACATCAAACAATGCGCAGCCAGAAGTGGTGACTGAATTCTCCTTTCTCAATCTGGATGACCTACACCCAACATATGGCGGGAATGTGGAAGGGCGACTATAAACAAAATCCAAAAGAGGGGTGTTGTTTTTTAAGTTGAGATTCAACCGCGTAAGTGAAGTGCGCTATCGATACATGAAGCCGCGTACTAATTGTACAAGGACCAAACCAGGCCCGCCCGAGAGAAAGTGCGGCACGAAGAAAAGAGCCGAAAAGAATCCATTCGTTCTCGGAAGCGTGAAGAGCGCCGGTTTGCCGTCACCGGTCTGAAGGCGGCTCCTCGTCCTCCTCATCTTCCTCGTCTAAACCTGTTTGAATAAGACCATGAACAAGGCCAGCTGCAGCTCGAAGTGATGACCCTACCTTCTTCGTCTAGATCCTCCATGTCTGCATCAAGATCCTCCTCCGCAGTGTCATTCTCTTCATCCTCCATTATTGAGGGACTATCTTCGTCTTCTGAGCCTTCAGAACCATCGGAATCATCAGACAGCTCGTCCGCCTGTTTATAACAGAACGGTAAAATGTGCAGTATAGGTGAATATACGGATACTCAACGCTAGCATCATTCTTCTCCTCATGACGAGTGAACGTCCGACCTATGGGAACGAGGAAGCTGAACCCTCTGTTACGAATGTCCTCCCTCTAGAACATAAGGGTATGGTCAACTTGAGATCTCTGAGCCATAGAGACGAAAAGCTCACCATGTCGACGATTTCCTCCTCCTCGTCACTGAGATCGTCCATCTCGCGCTGCAGGTCCCGCAGGCTGTTGAGACGACCTGTTCTCTGGTCATGTTTTGGTAATGGGACAGGGTGCGGCTGTGGCGGTTTGGGGAGAAGGAGAGGGAAGTGGGGACTCCGAGGGAGAATGGTCGGTGTTGCTACCGACATAGCATTGGAGGACGACCGGGACCGGTAGTGCGAATTTCGACAGCACCGAGTTCCACGGCGACCAGGGAGTGGGGAGCCGCCGGCAGCGTAACAAAGCGACAGGTCGCGACCTGTCACAGTCACGTGTCGCGTTAACTCGGCTTGTGACATGGGCGAACTGCTCTCGCAGTGGACACCACATCTGGGGACGCTGAAACTAGGGCGGACAGCCCGTGTCAAATGGATCGCGAAAACCGGTAGCAAAAGGCTGGGTGCTTGCAATCTGGACAATCGAGTCCTGCAATGACCACCTTTATCACTGCTGCCGTCGTTGCTACACCTCTTGTTAGGCAAGTTAAATAATACTCCTCCATTTGCCAAATGCAGGCGAGGCAAGGCTCATTCATGCTTAGAATTTGAAGTGTCCACCTCTTCTCTATCCTATGACGACCTAGATGCGCGCGAGGAGTGTGAATAGGTTCTGAAGGTGAGGATATCCTTGCTTCAGGCTAAGGATGGCGCCGTCGAGTCTGGAACTGGTCGTTCAAGGGGGATGCTATGATGGCATAGGGAAGTCCACCGGCCTCTCTCAGAACTTGGCACTACCAGTGTCCCTAAGGTTTTTCAAAGCTATACATAAATGGGGATCAACTGGGGGAGGGTCATGTACGAGAACTCCTCTCGGCCACCATACCCCCAAGTAAGCCCTTCCTGCTGAACTGAACTGAGCTGCCGCGATACTACACTAGCCTCAACCATTACGGTGTCGTTGATTGCACACCGAGTACAGCTGCGCAGAATTATGCAGATCTCACTCGCAAATGCCGGAGCTCGCCTTATTCGCTACTTCCTCATTTAAAACCAGTCCGAGTAGCAAGCAGGCACCAGGGAGATGAACATGGCCCAGTGTCACCCGCGTTGCTCATGATCAGCTCATCACACAACGCCATCCCCACTGCTTGAGCTTGCTCCTCTAAACTCCGATCGCACGTTTCTTAAGCCATGGGTTCCTTTTCGACCCAATTGTCGCGCACGAACCGTGCACATGGGGTAATGTGTAGAAGTGTCGCTGTTGAGTACGTACCTCCAGGAAATGCGCTATGTACTTCAGCTTCTCAGGCCTCAAACGATATCCGGCGTCAAAACTCCATTGAACATCGTCGGATGGGAGGTGGTCGAGATAAAGGTGGTGTTGATAGCGAAGGGCGAAAATGAGGAAGCAGGGTACCTCGATGTTAGGTAGTTTTGAGGTGCGAGGAAAGACTCCTGACCTTCTTTCTGAACAAGAGTAGAGCCGAGTTTTTCCAATGTCGAGTGGCTCGGAGGCGCGAGAACAAGTTTCTTGTCTTTTTCCTGAATGTGGCTACGACCAGGATACGCCAGCAATGTGGTCGACGCACGTGTCTGCGCAAAGGGACTACCTCTGCGTTCATCCTAGTTGCAATCATTCCTCTCCACACGAAGTCACAGTACACACGTAGCGCAAGTGGTAGCGAGTGACACTGATTGACGAAGCTCATCCGTGGGACGGTTTGCCGAGTTTCGAGCCATGGCAACAAAGCGGGAGAAAAAAACAACATTCCTATCTATGCTCACCGTTGTAAGTCGAGGACAAAGACAAGCCGCAGCCCATGCCTCCCAAAAACACAATTACATTGAAATCTCAATCCCCGTAGACTTGGGCCATGCTATAGTTCGAGCCACACCTCGCTTACAATAGCGTCTCCCCTGTGGAAGGTTGAGCCAACTACATCTATTGATTGGTCTGAGAGACTGACCTAGCGCCGACCGTGCTAGAGAGCAGCCCACAGCTACCGTCTGCTTCACCTCTGCCTCATCTGCGAGAGACGGGTTGACCTCCTATGAAATTTGGGTAGCGTCAGCGTTGACTCTCGCAAGAAAGAAACATCCCCCCCGCCGTACCATAATGTCAAGCGCAACGAGACATCCCGTCTCATAGATGGCCTCGCATATGTAGTGGCCCTCTCTGAAGGTGAGCCCTCCACGAACCTGCGCTCCCGATTCCCCGCGGTCAGCTAACGCCCCGCACTGCGAGCACGCGACTTACCGGCGTTCCCGTCGACGGTGCAACGCTCGGGTCGAGCGCGTCGACGTCGAAGCTGAGGTGGATCGGACGGTCTCGCTTCGGGTTGACATGGTCGAGTGCCATTTCAACGACACGCCCGATACCATACTTGTCGACCTCGTGCATGCTGAAGGCGCGAATGCCATTCTCCTTAAGAATCTTTTTCTCCCCTGCGTCGACATCGCGCAGGCCGATGTATACCAGGCGCTCAGGCTTGAGCAGCGGTTTTACCCAGGAGAACTCGGGGATCTTGGACCCAAGGCCGAGCAGGAAGGAAACGGGCATGCCATGAATATTACCTAGAATTAATGAGTGAGAATTCTCTACTGCTACAAAGGGTATAAAACATGTACCTGAGTCGGTGGTTTCCGCCGTGTTAATGTCACCATGGGCGTCCACCCAGACAACACATGCATCAGGATATTGTCTAACTTGCATTCGTCGACAAAGAAATACAGAGGATAGGTTAAGACATACTCGAATGTTCCGGAAATTGTGCCCATGGCCTGGAGAAATTTGTCAGAGAGACATCACCTCAGGCGAGAGGAATTGTGAGACGACACCACAGTAGCAGATACTATTCTGCGCAAAGAGACGTACCAAAGAATGATCACCGCCAAGTGTTAGTGGTAGCTGACCCTTCTTTGCATGCTCACCGACGACCTTGGCGATGGCTTCGCACACTCGCGAGACAAGTCGAGGATTCTTCAACTTCCCAATGGGCGGGTCGCTCGCGGCGTCAATCTCCTCAAACTGGTGATGACCGTCGAAGAGAACCTTCCACCCGAGCTCTGAGAGCTGCTCTGGAAGACCTGCTTGGACGAGATGAATGGGGCCACGATCTACGCCTAGCTTTGCCTAACACGTGTGCGATGAGGTCATGGGTTGATGGTGCGGCATCGACGCTGAACGCACCTGGCCTCCACTGCAGAGCATAGAGCTGCCTGAGCCACATGCACCTATTTCGCGAGATGTGTAGATCTCACCTGAATGGACAACCGACAATCTGCACCGTAGGTCAGCGGATGGATGATGCCATTGAGCGAAGATCTGGGTGCTTACCGCCAACGTTTTGGGTTCGGGAAGAAAGTGAGAAACGGGTGACCGGGAGGACATGATGACAGTAAGGTTACAGTTGATGGCGTTGAAGATAAAGAGGAAATGCTGAAGGAAAGAGGACCAGAGTGAGCTTTTGTAGGGGGGGCGAATTGAAATCCGGATGCAAGCC